TTTAATCCCACGTTTGGTGTGGGTCAAAATCTAGTGAAATATAGTAATTGATGGAGAAAAAAGGAGTGATCAACAAGTTGGGCTTTTCATAGTACCGGAAAGCATAAAACACGTACACTCGCATAACTAGTAAACAAATAATGTCCATTTTACAAGATTTTGGTTTCAAGACTGTCAACTTTCCAAATTTGTTTTTGTTTTGTTTGTTTTTAATCGACTTTGATTGGTAATCTAATTTGAGCCTTTTGAAGATTCTATTAGAGTTAACCACATAAAATTATTTCCGGTTGAGCTATTTATTAAAGTGAATTATAGAAATATATATATGATGTACCAGACTCAATTAGAGGTTAACGCAGATTAATAATAAAAAAAAATTAATGATGAGTTTATTATGATGAATGATTGTCAACTTTACAAACAAAAAACATCCTCATTTTAATGAGGAGAATTGGAAGTAATCTTTGTCATAATTTGGACGGTCTACCTAAATTGCCTCTGGTTCCGTGTGCTATATACTAGTATTTTTAGTAAATTATATGATTAGTGTGTTTCTTTCTCATATATGATTGCAACTAGAGATAAGAAAGGTATTATCTCATTGATGGATGTAGATTATTCTTGGATTCCATCTAAATGTGATAGATGTGGAGCCGAGATGCCTTCTACCAATCCAATCAAAAGTTGATACCAAACTTTTGGATGAAGCCATTGATGTCATTATTGTCCCAGATGTAGCTGTGGCTTTAACAAGCTCTGAATCAACTCCCACTGTCACAACCATTGATATTGTTGCGCTTGCGCCCTTAACTTCACAAGTTGCCGATCTAGTTTGTGTTCCTTTAGTGGATGACTACCTTGAACCATATTCAGCTTGTGTTTCAAGGTCCATAGAAACCCCTACTATACCTACTCAAGTTACTAAGCTTGTTGATAGCAATCTACCAGCTTTGATGGATGATGCTACTCTTACATCCTTTGGCCAGCATTCTGATTCTGTTATTACTCCACTTCCACCAGTCACTAATGCGGCTGCGGAAGGTGATGCTTATGCTATTAACCAGTTTACTGATTTTGCAATGGGAGCGTATACATGTGATGAATAAGTTCAAAAGACTCGAGGAGGTAGGCCAATTAAACCCACACAAGAATTCCAAGAACAATGGATTGTGGTAGGTGGAAGAGGAAACAACGGAAGACGTGGCCGAGGCCGTGGATCGAATGTCTAAGAATGTCAAACTCATTCTTCTCTTCACTTTTATCTCTTAACCATAATCTTGTATGCTACTTGTCTTCCTCTCATTTTTACTTCTTTGAACTATATGATCTAAACAATTATGTCATTGTACCTTTATTTTTATGCAATTCAATAGAAAACTTTT